ATGCAGAAGACCCTTACAGGGTCCAGGGAACAGGGCCATGTTCCCCATCCCCACCATGACTGCGCAGGACGTAGGGGGATATCAATGCTACCATCAGAGCCCTGCTGGCTCCTCTCAGCACAGTGACCCCCTGGAGCTGGTGGTGACAGGTGAGAGGACACTCAGGGGTCCGGCCCTTGCTCTGCCTCAGGAAAGGGGTCTGCCCCCAGGGGTCCCTCTCACAGCCCATTAATGGGGGACGAGGGAGCCATGAACGCCTGCCTCCTTCTCTCCTAGATTTCTACAGCAAACCCAGGCTCTCAGCCCTGCCCAGCCCTGTGCTGACCTCAGGAGGGAACGTGACCCTCCAGTGTGGCTCATGGAAGGAATTTGACCGCTTTATTTTGGTGAAGGAAGGAGAACACAACCTCACCTGGACCCTGGACTCACAGCGACACCCCAGTGGGCAGTTCCAGGCCCTGTTCCCTGTGGGCCCCGTGACTCCCACCCACAGGTGGACATTTACATGTTATGGCTAGTATAGGAGCAAGCCCCAGGTGTGGTCAATTCCCAGTGACCGCCTGGACCTCCTGGTCTCAGGTAGGGAATTCCCATCCTTCACTCCAATATTTGGTGAGGCTGCGACCTTGTGGGTAGAGACCCAGGGGTGAGAGGGTGACCTACAGGCAGGAAGGGGGACGCAGGGGGTTGTCAGGATCCAGCCCTCAGCCCAGGCTCCTCTTCCTCCAGGGGTGTCCAGGAAGCCCTCCCTCCTGACCCAGCAGGGCCCTGTCCTGGCCCCTGGAGAGACCCTGACCCTCCAGAGTCACTCAGACGTCACCTATGACAGATTCACTCTTTCCAAGGAGAGGACACAGGACCTCCCCCAGCGCCCTGCCCAGCAGCCCCAGGCTGGGCTCCCTCAGGCCAACTTCCTGCTGGGCCCTGGGAGCAGCTCCCACGGGGGTCAGTACAGGTGCTACGGTGGACACAGCCTCTCCTCTGAGTGGTCAGCAACCAGTGGCCCCCTTAACATTGTGGTCACATATAAAAATCCCAGGGGTGAAGTCAGGGACCCAGACTCTGCACAACCCTGTTGGGGAGCCCCAGGAGGTGATGGCCAGGGTGATGTGGGGTCCCAGGAGGGAGAGAGACAGGGAGGGGCAGAGAGGACAGGGACAGGGGGACACAGGGACAGAAATAATCAGAGACAATGAGACAGACAGAGAGCACAGGGTCCTCAGAGAGAGGCCCTGGGGAGGTCTCAGCTCAGAACAAGCTGGGGCCACCCTCCCCCTCCTTCCTCTCTCTAGGACAGCTCCCTGTCACACCCTCCCTCTCAGTGCAGCCTGGTCCCACAGTGTCCTCAGGGGAGAACGT